CCCTAACGAGCAGCACGACCGTTTGTGTGCTGGGGGACTTCAGACGGAGCCAGTGGGATCTGAAAAAGCCAACTACATACAATAAAGGCTCATAATGACATATTGTAAATGCATGCATCTAACCACCCTTTAATTGGCGCTTTATTGATAGTTTGCAATTACTGACTTATTTCTATCATGAGGGGAGTCTGCAAAGGAAAAAAGGGTCCCAGTGTAAAATGCAGCTCTGGTGCATTTATAGCATTTCAACAAAAACCTGTTTATTTAATATTTACTGCCCTTTTCTTCATTCAGAATGACTTTTATTGACAATACTTCTGCTCTGCAAAGGAAGCAATAAAGTTTAATGTTGATATACCACTTAATTCTGCTTTTCAAGATTTGAATTGACATTACATGCAAGTTTTATTGGACATTTTATAATTGTTATTGGAGTCATGGTGGCTAGGTTGAGTAAGTGTATTTTTCCAGATTCCGACTGGCCTGGAGAATATTGCTTTGTCAGGAACCCAAAAAAAGTTGTGCTTTAAAGAAAAAAGTCTTTTTTTTTTTTTTTTCCAAGTGTGAACTTATTCTTCTTTCCTAGTTCACGTTTGTAAGGAAAAAAGCTTAGTGAGTTTGGGAACGTCAGAGAGGAGGGGCTCGGCAGCCTGCCGGCTTGGCGGAGCGGAGAGCGCACTGGGAGGATGGATGTCTATCCCCCACTGGATTCCCGTGGGGTTGTGCCGGTCGTGCCATAGGCAGACTGTGCTGGTCCTGGTGTGCCGGACTGTCCTGGGCCACCTACCGTGCGGGAGATTTGGGTGATGACGACTGAAACACACGCTGCGTAGGCGCGTCTCTGCACTGTCCCCTTCCCATGCTCGCTCACCCACCCACCCGTGTCCTCACAAGACCCGAAGCAGGGAGCCCGAGGAGCCAGGACACCCCATGGTTTTGGTGCTTCATGTGCATTGATGTTGCTGTGATCTTGGTTTGGGGTCTGCCTGCTCTGATACGAGTCGCCGTAGCTTGAGCTTCCAGAAATTTCCCCTTTGGCTGCTTTTTGATCTTGAATAAATTGAAGAGTCTTCCATATTGCAAGCCTCTCAATATAAATAGTCTTTGCTTAAAAAAAAATAATGGAGCGGGTTGAATGCTGGCCAGTTCCCATTAGAAAAATCATTATTTATTGTCGCTAACCACCAGATTGGGGAGGGCTTTGTGAGTTACAGCTGTGGGTGTAGTTGTTGCAGGACATCTGCACACAGAGAGATTCTCAATCAGATTGCAGCGCCCAGAGCACGCTTACCAGGATCAAAGGTGAGTGGAGAGAAAATGTCATCCAAGGTTTTACAGCCAGGCCCCATCAGCCGCTTGTCCCCCGGGCAGGCTGCGGAAGAGCTCCCCAGCCGCCGGCACAGCTGCTCGCGGTCCTGGCCAGGGGCTCAAGGCTGGGGACTGTCCCCACGGTGTGGCACGGGGGTCCCGCCAGGCTGCCCGTCTCGTGCGTGCCAGGGGCAGTGAGAGCGGGTGCATGTCCTCCGCACCGGTGACTCCCTGCTCCCAAGAGAGAGGTTTGAATGGGCTGCGCTGACCTTGTCATTAATTGCTGTGTGAAACCCCGATCCCGAGGAAGCTGTTTGCACTGAAGAGATGGCCGTGGAGGGGAAGCTCTGGGACATGGCACCTCCAAGGTTGAGGAGCCTCTCTTAGCCATACAGCTGGTGCAGCCAACAGGCAGGTTTGTGCTGAGCGGGACTAAGCAGTTTGACTGTGCCCATCTTGCTTTCTCCCATCACACGTGTCCCAAAAGCGAAGACTCCCAAACTCCCGTCTGCACAGGTTGACACCACCCCATGAGGCTTTTTTCTTCCATTAGTGTCTGCTGGGAAGTGTCTGCTGGGATTCAAAACCCTTGGGTTTCTGAGACCCAAAGTAGTGCATCGACCCACCCCACCTGCAAGGGAGCCTGCTGGAAAGAGCTCAGCCGGCCTGAAAGCATTAGCAGGTGATGGTGGCAAAGCCTCCCCCGTAGACTGTCTGTGCTGAGAGCTTCCTTTTGCATTTAGAAAGAAATCTTAGATGAAGGGCAGCCAATTATAGAGGATCTCCAAGGTAAATATGCGGCATTGTTTCAAAAAACCCATTCTTTTTAGCATTTACAGTGCATAGAAATCCAAATCTAAAACAGAAATTAAGCTAAATGGACGTTTAACTTTTCAACATCATTAGGGATTTATTGTGAGCAGGTGCCAGACTTGACGTGCCGAGCAACACTGCTGCAAATTGTCTCTGCCAGGAATAAAACTGGAGGAGAGACTTGTAACTCAGCTCCTTCCCTGCTCAGCTCTGTGCTCCAGCCCTGTAAAAACAGGCTGGTGAGAAATGGCCAGTCTGAGCCTCAGAAACCTCCAAATAAGCCTGAGGTGGAGTTTGCCCTTTGCTCATATATAACTGAGAGTCCTTAGAGTTTTTGAGAGTTTGCTAAATATTCAAAGCTTTTTGTTGTCATTTATTATTATCCTTCCTGGGGAGTACAGGCGCATTTTGCAGCAACTGTGCAGAGGCACAACCGTGTTTGCCAAGATGCTCTTGTCTGGAGCAGGGACATTTGCATCCCCTCATCAGGTTTAAACTTCCAGCGCTGGGGTCGGGGTTTTGGACACCTTCTCTAATTCATAAGGATGGGATTGTTTTCGCTGAATGTCTCTTGACGGTGGCGATTGAATGTGGTGTTCACTTAAGGGGATGGAAATCCAGCTGCAGGTGGTAGCACTGGCCAATGTTTACAAATCACTCTGATGAATGATTCTTTCATTTTGAGTCTGATGGTACCAATTGACTGATTTTGTAGTAGTGTTGGGGTCTGAGCTTCAAAAATATACATGTAGATCTGAAGCACCCCAAAGTTCAGGAGAAATCAAGTCCAAAATGTGGCTGTTAGTATCTGAAGGTGGAAGAAGAGGTCTTGGAGGATCTTGGAGACCACAGGTGAGGTCTGGAGCCTGTTGGTTCTGTAGAAGCATCAAGCCAGAGCCTGCCTGTGCCCTAAGGAGCTTGTGGTTTTAAGGGGGAGGGAGGATGAAGGTGCTGCGTG